CTCGTCACTTCCACGCAGATTTGCCGAATTATGTACGCGGAAAATTTTACAACGGCTTTTCCGATAACTGGGAAAATGTTTATCTGCTATGGAGAACATACGTTAACCAGGGATGTCCGATAACATTTCATCGGCTTACTCCTATTACCGATAGCGATGATGACTTGAAGAGTAAAATGACAGATCTGAATTACACATCCGTGAACAATGATAAAGTTGTTCCCAGAACAAAGTCTCACAGATTAGCTGAACGTATTCAGTCTGAATATTCAAGTAATAAGTTTCCAAAAAAGAAGGAAAAATATAATTGCTTGAAATACAGTTCTCAAAGTTACGAGAAAAATACTTTGTTCATAAAGTCTTTTATTCCCGAGTCAGAAAACAAAGCACCTGTTTCACAAACAAGTTTGGCATATGACGAAGATGGTGAGCAGAATTTTAGACCGAACGTAAATACATCGCACTCTTCCAGGAAAATGACCATATTGAAGGACTACATCCAAAAGGATAAACCGAATATTATTATCAATAATTTGATAGATGAGAATTGTTCTCAGGCATATATTGATAAGATTGTCGAGATGTGTGATTGTTTGAATTATGTAGAGTCTTATGAAGCGCCTTCAGAATACAGTCACAGCCCGATGGTTATCGCAAGACAACATACTTTCAAGTCGGAACAGACTTCGCCACAGCAGATCGCCATGCTCGATAGTAATTGTGTAGACACTAACAAGATTGGAAACCGAACAATGGAACCGAAAAGCTACGTGCATTCTGGCGATCTGGGATACAAAAGCGTAAAAAATGACTTCATCACTGCTCATCAGTCGAATCCAATAAGTACTAAGCCGGAGCGCAACGATTACAAAAATTTGGACAAATCGGAGAGTGAGATTTACTCGTATTCAACGAGCGGAAAAATTGCACACAGCAAGCCTATATCAAGAAGATACACCGCAACATGTATTGAATTGAAATTTAAATATCATCTTGAAGGGAATATTGTTGACGAAACAAATGGTAATTGAGTAAAATCCATTTGTTTCGTCAACAATATTTCCTTCAAGATGATATTTATATTTGAATTTCGATTCAATACACGTTGCGGTGTATCTTCTTGATATAGGCTTGCTGTGTGCAATTTTTCCGCTATTGAAAAAAATAAAATGTTAATATTCAAAGGTGAATTTAAATAATTGGTATCCAAAGTATCCTCTTTAATACGTTCAGCTAATCTGTGAAACTTTGTTCTGGGAACAACTTTATCATTGTTCACGGATGTGTAACTCAGATCCGTCATTTCACTCTTCAAGTCATCATCGCTATCGGTAATAGGAGTAAGCCAATGAAATGTTATTGGACATCCCTGGTTAACGTATGTTCTCCATAGCAGATAAACATTTTTCCAGTCATCGGGAAAGCCGTTGTAAAACTTTCCGGGTACATAATTCAGCAAATCTGCGTGGGAGTGACAAGTGATTAATATGTCAAATGTATGTGGATAAAATGGATTTTACTCAATTACCATTTGTTTCGTCAACAATAGTCCCTTCAGGATGATATTTATATTTGAATTTCGATTCAATACATGTTGCGGTGTATCTTCTTGATATAGGCTTGCTGTGTGCAATTTTTCCGCTATTGAAAAAAATAAAATGTTAATATTCAAAGAAATGAATTAATGATGTCTATATTTTGTCTACTTACCATGCTAATGTTCCTTTAATTATTAATTCATGTTGATTGTTCAACATAACTTTCCATTTTAAAAACACTCTTTCAACCTTTTGTATAACATTGGTGGAAATCCTTGATGAAGTATAAGATTGTAAATAATCTTTGCTAACATTTGTATTAGCGGATACAGAGTTGGAGGCACACTTCACGGAAAGTGTATTTGGTAGGGAAAACTGTGCATAATTGTCCTGCACAGTTAATGCTGCTTTTTTACCATTTGACGATATATGAATAGCACTGGATATAGCCATTATTTTTTCATTATTCGTATTGTAATGCTTCTTCTCCAAGAGTAGACTTCTGAGAATACTACCGGAAGTTAAAGTCTCGCTTTCGGCCGAAGAAGCATGTGACATTCTAGAATTCAAAGGTGAATTTAAATAATTGCTATACTGTTATAAGTATATAGAAATATATGTATTTTGTAAACAATGTAATTTTTGTCTATTTTAGAATAGAAACAAATACAAGAGCAGTTGGAACATACAAGTTTTAAGGAATTGATGAAATTGAAAGAAAAATTGGGGACCAAGATATATAATGAGACGGCATTTGGAAGAAGAAGCAAGAGAAGAGTAGAATTTAAGCGGGAAAATAAAAATAGGCCATGTGAGATGTCCGCTAAGAAGCCAGTTTCTAGGTTTAATCCGGCGGTTGTGGTTAAAAAATGTGTATCACGAGATCCTAGATTTGATAGTTAATGCGGTATAAACGATGAAAAGGCCTTCAGGCACTCTTATGCATTTCTTAATGAATATCGAGCAAATGATCTCCAAACTTTGCAAAAAGAGTTAAAAGAACCAACTGATCCAAAAAGTATAAAAAAGATAAAATATCTCATACAAAGGCTTGAAAATCAATTAAGAGAAGGGAAGAAACAGAAGGAAAAAGAAGAAAAGAAGGAATTGCTGGAATTTATTAAACAAGGAGAGAAATCAGTCTTTAAGAAAAAATGTGAGTTAATAAAATCATTAAAATTTAATACAATTCTGATTATTATTTTATTTTATTTGTTTTTTACAGCTGAAAAGAAAATCTTAAAATTTAGTCTCACGGTATGAAGAATTGAAGAACACAGGGAAATTAAAAAAACATATTCAGAGACTGCAAAGGAAGAATGAACACAAGGACAGAGCAAAGTTAAGAGAGAGAGAAGAATTAGATGAAATAGAATAAAATATATTTGCATAAATGATTAAGTTTAATGTTATTAAGAAATATTATATCTGTAATTCATCATTTATAATAAATAAATAATTGTTTGTATATACTGTTTCATTGTAAACATTGTAAAATTCATTGTAAACATTGTATACTAACTTTAGTGTAAAGATCAATTAGGCTTTGGTTGAAATTACAATTGATATTAAATGAAAAATTAGTTGCTCTCAATGTTTTACATATCAATATACTATAATGTAATAATGTCTTCTGAAAGTTTTATTGTATTTTTATTTTCAGTTTATCTGATTATTTTATTAACAACCATTGTTTCATTTATCGACATAATATTTAAGTTATTGTGCGACCTTTTTTATCAAGCCTTGAAAATAGAGATTCTGAGCTTTAAAATGCTTTGTTTAGAAAGTTAATATGATTTTTGTTATAAAAATGTAGCCTTTATTTGAAAACGCTTTACAGGATATATATGTACCAACAAATTATGTGTGTACCAACAAATTATATATGTTTCTTAAATACTTAGAACAGATGGTATTTCGTACATACAATTTATACAGTTCTTAAACGGTAACATGAAACACGAAAGCAATATACCTCAAATCCGTTGTTTCTTTCTTTGGCAATCCTACCTTTTGTTCCCCGTCTCTCATAAATATTTGCAACGAGTTCTGTCCACACAAGAATATCTCTCTTTTAGGGCCACTTTAATCGATCAGTAACTTTTCAAAATAGTCAACTTAAAAGCTTATATATGTCGATTCTAACAGAGAGAAGCCTGGGAGGGGCCATGCCGTCGTTTTTCATACGACGCTTTCTCTAGGCCAGTGCTCGGAATTAGTCTGAACATTTCAGCCGATTTCCGTGGTATACGCCTCCTTTCCTCTCCTTACCGCGCGCGCCGCAGCCGCTAGGGCCAGCGCCGCCGAGCGTTAGGAGCGACACTATCTGATTATGAGTGGGTTCTTTTCCCTATTTATTAAAATTTTAAAAAATGTATTAAAATTTATTAAAAATAAATTTTTTATTTTTAAATTTATTAAGTGGAAATATTTCAATAGATTTCCACGTCACCCATGAGATACTAATGCTGACGCGTTTTTTTTAATGGTTTCCCCCGTAGACCTATTCCACTAAAGATAAAAATAAATTCTTAATTTAAAAAAAATATATATGTAAAAGAGATTTTCTTAATTAGATTTTCTTAGCCTTTTATGAGAATGAACAATTGATGCAATAATGTAGATAAAAACCACTTTTTGAAAAACGTGTCAGTATTAGTACCTCATGGGTGACGTAGAAATCTATTGAAATATTTCCACTTAATAAATTTAAAAAAAATTTATTTTTAATAAATTTTAATAAATTTTTTTAAATTTTAATAAATAGGGAGAAGAACCTACTCATAGAACCTAATCAGATAGTGCCGCTCCTAACGCTCGGCGGCGCTGGCCCTAGCGGGTGCGGCGCGCGCGGTAAGGAGAGGAAAGGAGGCGTATACCACGGAAATCGGCTGAAATGTTCAGACTAATTCCGAGCACTGCTCTAGGCCGTACAGTAGCGCTAACTGGATCCATTTTTTGAGCCGGCGGAACTACATGGCCAGATCCACTTTTCGCTATAGTAAAACGGCCGATTGGTGCATGTCTGTGCTAGATCCACAATTATGGATCTTTTCTTTTCATTTTGTCGTGCACCTCGTTTCGCATAGTGACGAGCTTTTCTTCTCGCAGGTTTTTGTCCGAGAATAGATTGCGAGAAGTGCACAACAAGATGTTCTCCGGCCTGTCGAGCCTTAAAACACTGTAAGTACTTTGTTGGACAAACGAAGTACAGTCTTCGTTGATAAAACAATACCGCACGGTATCTCAAGAGACACGGTAGTATCTCGCGCCAAGTTCACGCGCAGCGCGCAACGCAAGCGCAAGACCGACCGTGTCTCTACGCGAGACGGAAAGTTCAGATGAGCCGAGATTATCGGATCTCAATAACGGCTGGGCCAATTGAGTTGGCAATAGGCTCAATCGAAAGCGCATACCTAAAATATATAACGAAAGTTTGCTTGTTTTTACTCTGTGTGCTTTATATAAATAAAATATATGCATTCAAAGTCGAGAAATCTAAAAAATTATCTCGCTAGGATGTATGTCGCGCTAGGATGTATGTCGCTCATGTCTTATTGGTCAGCGTCGTCAGCATTTCTTTTTCTATCCAAAAGACGTCTTTCCTTTTCTAACATTTCTAACATGGCAGCGCTCAGACCTGTCAGCTCGCAGCTTTGATGATATATTAATTACATTGATATAATTAATATCGGTCGTAAAATGTATATATAACGTGTTGTGGAGACGAATAAAAATAGTGTATATCAAAATAATAGTATTCTTCATGAAAAAAATTTTTTCGATCTTAAAGTGCAGAAGTGTAGCAAGACATGTTGACAACACTCAGTATTCTGTGGTTAGTGGACAGACAGAACTGTAAGATTTTTACCGATAATACGAGAAAATCAAATAAAGAAATATAAAATCTCTTATCGACAACGACTTTCTTTTAAAATGTTTGATCGGACGGTTAGTCCTCTCTTCGACCTTATTTATTATTGAGAAATAATACCGGCACCAGATAATGTTGTCAGGAACGACTGTTAAAGTTAATAAGAAGGATCGACACTGCTTGAAATTTAATATACTTTAGTTCTTTAATGAAACACAGACTGATATAAAAGTTTTACAGATAATGATTTCAGCGATATTTTTACAAGTCCCGATAATTGAATTAGACTTCCGATAGGCTCTCTACTTGTTCAGATTTTTCGACTAAAGGTGCAAATTCATGGGACGCTCGTTTCAGCGTTGCCCATAGTCACGTGACTTCGAGTTGACGCTAGCGTCAAGAAAAAAAGCTGGATTTTTTTAGCTTTAGCGTCAAGTCGTGCGATCTGTGCGATGATCTGTCTGTGCGTGCTATTCGCTATTGGATTTGCATATGTCTCATGTGGTCTTTCAACCTTGTCAATAAAAATGGATGTTATTTAAGTAATAAAAAGTAATAATTGAATTTATTATCCAATACTACATATATATAAAGAAAATAAAAAGAATGAATAAGTAATGAATTAAAAATGATACTTTTTGAGGTTTGGAAGAATCAGCAGTATTGTATTTATTTGCAAAATATATTTTTATAATTATCTTTATATTATATATGTTTAATTATGTAAATTTAATATCAATGTTATGTAAATTTAATTCAATAAAAAGTTATTTTATTATAAATAAAAGCTTGAAATATAATATATACAAATATGCTGTGCATTTTTATTCTATACAATTAATTTTCTAACTTTGAAAAATGCTATTCTTAAGTATTACATTAGAAATTTTCTAATACTAAACAACTATTCTAATATCGTTTTTCCTACTCTACTTATCAAAGTTTGCAATAATATGAAACTTTGTTTAATTGAAAAGATATACATTTTGTATACTTATCAAAATAAATAATATGACATGAAGTAAATATTTTATGTTTGTAAACATATAATAAAAAATATTACATATAATAAAAAAATTATTAATAAACATTTTTTTAGCATTTTCGATAAAATAAGTAGAACTGGTAACCAAAGGTTTTTATCTTATTCCTACTTAATTACACTTTTTTTAATATTTAAAACAGTAATTATTAATAAAGCAAGTGAAAAAATTAACTGAACAAAATCAGTGACAAAAACTTTTAACAGTTTTGATATATACAAATATCGATGAATACCGACGCAGACCGCTGACTGACGCTAAATTTTACGAGAAACTCTTTTCATGCATTTCTCACATCTAGCGTCAACTTTGTTCACGTGACATATTTGGACGCTAAAAATGAGCGTCGAGCGTCAGCGTGAAAAGGCACCTTAACGCTCACGGCTCGACTATAGAGAGTGAGTCTCAGGGTGAAGTCCCATGAAGCCAGCGTACGGCGTACTGGCGTACGGCGTAAAGGAACTAGGCCAATCACAGGCTTTACGCCCGTTGTCGGTATGGCAGCAAAAACATCGGCTGTCCCATGGAGCGTATTTACGCGGACGTAAAAATAAATAAACCAATCACAATAACTTTTTACAAAGCTTATTTTTAAAATGGATACTCAGGGGATCTTGTGATTGGCTTATTGATCATTACGCCGGCGTAAATACGCTCCATGGGACAGCCGATGAAATTTTCAGCGTGACGTTTTAATACATATACATTTTCATACATGAAATCAATCAAAACAAATGTGCGCAAAATCTTCTTGTTAAAATGTTGGACTCGGACTTTGCGTTAATAAATTTAATAAAGTATTTAAAAATATACAAATGCTCGGA